ATTAGGGGAAGTGATAAATCTGGCAAGGAATCCAGCAAGGGCTGGCCCTCTGGCCTCTCCCGACTGTGCACCTTGTGCACCAGCTGATGCCAACATGTGGCTGCTGGCCAGCAACTCCGTGACATACTCCTGTTACCACCACCAAAACAGAGGCCTCATCTGTTCCTTCACCCTCCTTCATCCTCCAAGTGGTCTCAATCCATCAGTGGATCGGTCCAAGGTGAGGACCTCAACTTGGCCTGGGAAGGTTCTTGACATCATCATAGAAAAACATCTGGGGATAAGCACAGGGTGATTTATTAGGCAGAGTTAGAAAAGAGAAGAAGAGAAGGAGAATATTTCAACTGAAGGGGTTGGAGGGGACACAGCTCTTCCAGGGAGGCATAGGCTGAAAAGGGTGTGGTGGATGGTGAGGTCAGTTCCAGCTTCTTCACCAGCTGGAAGGGGCCCTTGCTTCAGTGACAGTGGAAAATTTAATTGGAGGCAATTAACACACATTTATAGGAAAGGGCCCATGAGACAGCTCAGCAGTTCAAAGCACCTGCTTAGGCAAGTACAGGGACCGCAGTTTGATCCCTGGGGCCACATGACATTACATCCCTGCCCCCAGGGTGGGCTGAGTCGACCACATACACACACACACACACACACACACACACACACACACACACACACAGAAGAATGAAAAACAATTTACAGGAAAAAGGGTTAACTGGAAAGAGAGGAATAGAGGGTGTGGCTCTTGTGAAGATCAAGGTAATCCGAATAGAAAAGGAAGGGAAGAGAAACTACAAAAAGGCCTTCTGTTTGGGAAGAAAAAAGGGAGCACAGACCTGACAAGGTGGACCAGACTGATGTGTTCTCTAAAGAAGTTTTAGGGGAGGCTGTGGAGGCCTGGGCCTAGGGTCATCATCTCTGCCCTTGTTGAGCAGCTCTGGAGGCCTGGTGACTTGACGGGCACTCTGGGTCCCATGAGCTCATGGAGTGGTCAGGGAGGCTCCATGGTCACAGGCTGACAACAATGGCTGGAGATTCTAGATGCTGCAGAGAGGAAATCTGGAACTAGACCTATGAACGTTGGTAATCAGATGTCCCTGTTAATCCTGAAAATTGTCCTATTTCTTTACTTTTTTGTTCTTTGTCCTTCTTCTACATTGTTATTTTTACCAGTACATGTTTGGAGCTCATAATGGTTACACTTACCACGGGGGTTGGTTCATGCGCACAACACATCTTCTTTATCCATCCCTTTCCACTCCTCTTTCCATTCATCTCTATTTTTTTTCTTGCTACTAGGAATTGAACCCCAGGTTTTTGCACGAAGTTACATCTGCAGCTCTTTCATGACAGAGCCTTGTCTTGAAGTCACTAAGTTGCCCCAGGCTGGTCTTGAACTTGTGACTCTCGGCCTTCCAGAGCTCTGGAGATTGCAAGCATGCACCATCATGCCTGGCTTGTGTTGCCAGCCTTCTGCGGTTGCTAACTGATTAACACGCTTATCTTTAGAGCTGAGCAGAGATCTGAACCAAAGTTTAAAGGTAAATAAAAGAGCTATAAAATGAAGACTACTGTGATGGGTTAATGTTAAACTAATATTACTCTGAAAAATTTACTCTGCTCAATTTTCTGTGACCCTGCTTCCTTGTAAGACCACAAGAAGGCTTGGTGTACCATCGATAAATCATCCATAGACTGAGAATACCTGGAATAGACCTTCAAAATAAATCAAAGTAAAGGTTGAAATGTTTCTAACTGTGCAAAATAGCTAAAGTGTTGATAACCAACCGGAAAGTGTTAGCAACACAGATGTATGGTAAACGGAAAGCTGAACAAAGGCTTCCAGAAAGAATGTATATTGAGTAATGCTCACGCTGTCCCTGAAGGTGCTGTTCTGTGTTAGATGACAAGGTTGTATGCCAAACAGGATGCAGTTTTTAGCTTTAAAACCTCTATACTTCTAAGGTCCAGCACCGCCCTTTTGTTCTCTCCTATGTGAGTACAGTCAAGCGGTCCAGGCCTGGTAATAAAGGCTCACACTTAAATTTTGAACTTGGACTCTGGTCCGGTTTCTATGTTGAGAACCCATAACAACCATGATCTATCCTGCTTTGAACTACCCATGAGGCATCTGTAGATCCAACTGAGGTGTTACTGTTATCAGTATTTGTTATGGTTTGTGTCTAGTTGTCCCCCCGAAGCCTCATGCAGTTATGGGGTGCACTTGTATAGTTTGTGATTAGTTCATGATCCAGTGCTGGAATTATGGGTGAGTGCTGCTGGGATTATGGGTGTGAGTGATACTGGGATTATGGGGGTGAGTGCTGCTGGGATTATGGGTGTGAGTACTTCACAGGGTTTGGGGCAGATAGCCTGAATGTAAAACAAGGGAGGCAGACTTGCTCTCTGTTACCATAGTTGCTGCTACAGCTCCCTTTTGCTCTTGCTGTTTTCTGCTGCCACGAACTGCTGCCCCTCTTCCCTGTGCCACTCTTCCTTGGAGTCAGCTGAGTAAGGACTGAGAAACTTTCACAAACTGTGAGCTAAACTTTTCCTTTGTTAGTTTTGGGTGCCAGGTATCTTATTCAAGCAATGAGAAAAAAGTAACTAAGGCATTATTTTAGCAAAAGCAGCTCTGGAGAGTCCCTCAGAAGAAAACACCAGTCAGGGCTCATTCCAGGACCTCCCTGGAGGCCCAAGGCTCCCCAAAAGACTTGAAGCGGAGCTCTGTGCTTCCTTCTGCCATTTAACAAATATTGTTTCAGTAGAATCTCTTTTTCCTCTTCATTTCCAAGTAAGACTACATAGTTTCTTTCAAATTCTATGTCAGTGGTTCTCAATGTGGTATTCTAGGAGTTGTATGCATTCTCTAGGACATGAAGGAGGTCTTCAATACATTCTTAGCAGTTCCTATAGACTGTACTTTTATGATATGGTTGTACATTTATTTATTAAGACCAGGTCTTGCCGTAGAGTCAGGCTGGACTTCCACTCACTACGTAACCCAGGCTGGCCTCCAACTTGTGGCATTCCTCCTGCCTCAGTTTCCTGAGCGTTGGGATGTCAGATATGTGCCATCATACCTGGCATAAGATTGCACTTACTAACTAAATAATGCTTCATGTTCAAGTGGCATGTATCTTGGTCACTTTTGATCAGCACTCTTAACCCGAAATACATGGAATATAGGAAGTAAAGCCATGTTGTTATGTTGAGCTGTAGGGGACTCAGGTCAATAATTTCTGGCATTGCCAGTTAAACAGAAGACCCAATGCTATTATGGGCTTCTGTACTCTTTTAGAATATTTTGCTGAGTTTACACACCTGTAATATTCAACAACGGAACTTAAAAAAAAATTGGGGTATAACTATGAATGTCCATTTTGTATCTGTGTATTCAAAGTGGTTGGGATAGATATATAGTTGCATTCTCTTAATGAATAGAATGAATTTTTCTAATGGTATTTGTAAGTAGGATCACAAGTCTGCATCTTGTACAGCAATTAACCACTAAGAAGAATATATGCAGTGTATTATTTGTTGAAACTGTACTTTCGATTTGATTTGAAACTGTCTCATTGCTATATGTTTATCAATAAAACTTTGAAAAGAAAAAAAATAATTTATTATGTTACAATTGCCTCCTAGGTCAAATCTTTTGCTACTTGGAATTCATTTGGGAAAAGGACACTGATGATAGGACAGGTCCCTCCCTCTCCCTCACTGTCAATGTGGATGGTCTTTTGGACAGTTTGCAACATCACTGTCACTGCAAAAATGTCTTCTGCAGTTGCTACACAAGCCTGTGAGTAAGGAAGATGAAAACCCCACTTTGTGTTCCAATGTGCCTGGGGTCTGTTGCCCCCTGAGGCCTTGGTCATTCTAGGTGTCTAAGCCTACATAAGAAAAACTGTCGTCTTTCCTTCTGTCAAATTGGGCTACTGAGGTTGGCTGTCTACTGAATTCCCAGAGTCCTGTCTTCCAGACAGCGGCGTTAGTAGGAAATTGGGGGCTGCAGTTCCAGGGAGCCATAAGCTCTGTAGAGATGGAAACGTGCAGGCGGCAGCTACTTAGGTCACCTACTTCTGTGAGCTCACTTGATGGAACCTAGGCAGAGGCTCTTTAGTGCTGCTGGCTGTACCCGCAGCGATGACTGCAGGGATGACTGCAGTGACTGCGGCTGCGGGCTCCCTTAGGAACCCCACAGTCTCAAGGGAAGTCAGGTCTGCATCCACGACCATGAGACAGGTCTAGAGGTTGGAAGGAAGTATCATGGGGCCCACAGGAGGGAAAAGAGTTGCAGAAAACTCACAGAGGAGGTGGCCCAGGGAAAAAGGATTTGCCGAAGGGAAGGGGTGCTGCTCTGGCTTTGTGCGGAAAGGATGTCAGAGGCAGAAGAGCCGGCCTCCGCAGGTGTCCTCAAAGACTCATTCCTCGCTCTTCCCCTTTCCCCGCCCGCTTTCAGACTTCTTAACTATTCCTCCCACCCGACCCACGTCTCGGATGACCCGGTTTTCTGACGTAGCAGCAGGGTTCCTTCTCAGAAAAGGTATCACCAGGGCTTTGGGCAGAAAGGCAGCCTCCAGAGGGCCAATCAGATGAGCTGAACCTGCAGCCCTTGCAGTTTCGCCAGAGCTGGATTCCCGGTTGGAAGCTGAGAGCTGTCACCCCAGCTCTGGGGCCAAAGCAGAGGAAGATCATGACCTAAGCTACTTTCCTCCTCCAGCCGGGAAGGGACGACCCTGTCACGTGGGCCCAAGGGTGTGGGATGATCTCTTGGGGTTCAGGTGGCCGGGTGGCTGCGCAGCCCCGTGACCCAAGCCTGGGAGGGGCCTTGTGGGAACTGGGCTCAGTTCCTCAATGAGCTGAGGCCCTCCGGGGTCGCGCTCCCGAGGCGCCCAGCGCAGCCACTCCCACCCCGGCCGGGAGGTGGCCCGGTCCTCTGAGGAGCTGGCCCAGGTCAGGTGACCGTGCAGGGCCTACCGAGCTGCAGACCTGGAAGCGCAGCGCGGAGCAGTCAGCAGCGCACTCGGGCGCCGCCGCTTGGGACATGCCGTCCCGGCCGCCGCCGTGCCCCGCGCTCCCCGGGCTGCTGCTGCTGCTGCTGCTGCTGCTGCTGCTGCTGCGCCCCGCGCGGCCCGGGGCCGTGGGCGCCGCGCCCTTCGAGCCCAGTTGGGAGTCGCTGGACGCGCGCCCGCTCCCGGAGTGGTTCGACGCGGCCAAGTTCGGCGTCTTCATCCACTGGGGCGTGTACTCGGTGCCCAGCTTCGGGAGCGAATGGTTCTGGTGAGCGCCGTCGCCCCTGAGTCCTCGCACCCTGCTTGCTCTGCGCCCCTCCCCACCCGCGGTCCCCGACAGCCCCGGGTCTCCTCCGTCTCCCTGCGGGCGTTGCTGTCCAGGCCTGTTTTCCCCTCCGGCGTTGGCGGCGCTTCGCACATCCGGGTGTTGGTGGTGTGGCGTCTTGGCTGAGTGCTTCCTGCAGTAGACGCGGTTTTGTTTCTGTTTTTCTTCAGTCTTACGGCAAGCGTGTCCAGCATTCTACTGCGCTGGCTTCTCAGTGTCTTGGGAATTGCACACGTGGAGGTGGGGCTAAAACACCGCTGGGTGCCACCGGGCGTGCAGAGAGCTCGGTCAACTTGGGGGCATCTGTCAGTGTTTCATAAAACTCAGCCTCCCGCGATAGTTCTTCGGCCACCGCCTGGTTTGCAGCCTCTCAGAGACAGGTTAGAGCACATCCGTGGTGCGTGACACGGCTGCGTCTTTGCACACACACACTGGTGCGTTCCGTTTTGTCTTTTTTTGAAACAGAATCTCTTTATGGTGCCCAGGCCCTCCTGGGTCTCTGACTCCTGGGATCCAGGATCCCCTGAGTAGCTAGGACCACAGGTGGGGCGACTGCAGTTTGCACACTAGTTATTAATATTAAAGTGTTAGTTTGTGTGCCTGTAGATTTTTTTAAAAGGGTTTTTAGTTTTTAGGTTTGTGTTTTATTTTTTGTTTTGAGTCAGTGTCTGTATAGTTCAGCCTGGCCTTAGATTCACAGTGAATCCCTGCCTCAGTCTCCCAAGCATTGAGATTTTTTTTTTTTTTTTAAAGGATTTGGAAAGGGTATGTATAATGCACTTTAGGTTTTGTCTTGAGGTTTTTAAAATCTATTTAGTACAGGGTCTAGTGTTATGGGTCACTCAGGATAGGAACCAGGTCAACCAGATTGGAATTTGGAAAGCCGTTTGTTACTGAGCTCAGGCCCTTCCCCCCCCCCCCCCCCTGCTCTCAGGCAGGAGAGGACTGAAAGGCAGTTTACTCAGGAAGCAGGGAGGGGTTTTAAACCCTGGAACCACATTGAGTTTGATAAGCGAATTCATTTTCTGACAGAAAATAATGCTTTCAGAGTGATTGGGACCACAACTCAAACAACATTTCTGGGGCTTTTGTTTCAGTTTCTGGTTAATTTTCACCTGAGTACCTGCAGGCAGCCTTGCATAGCCAGGAGGTTACAAGAAGATAAAGCCCATTTAGTTTCCTTTGTCATCTCTGTAAGCTAACTTTGCAGAACGGAATTGGTGAGGGTCACAGGAATTTTATCTAGCAAACACCAAGAAACAGCCACTAGTTACTAAACAACTTAGAACAGTTAAGTATACATTTGTACCCAACAGAAAACACAAGATTTATATTTATAGCCTAAAATGTGAGTTAACCCATTACATCTAGGAGTCTCACTACACACATTGGACTCATCGTGATCCTCTTATTTTCAGCCTCCCAAGTGCTGGGATTACAGGTATGCGCCACCACGCCCAGTCTCCCGGGGCCAGCATGGCCCCCTGGGGATTGAACTCAGTTCCTTGTGTCTGCCTAAGCAACGGCTTTAATCTGCTGAGCTATCTGGCCAGCCCTTGTCTCACAATTTTTATAATGAAAAGGTGGGTGTAATCTCTTGTATGGTTACATACACCTTTCCTAATTCATTGCTTCAAGTCTGATTTAGAGAGCAATGTGCTCTATATGCATGTGTAGGTGGGTACTCGTGTGTGGATCTGTGCTCAGCTTTCCCTGTTTCTCTTTAAAAATCCATGTTCATCAGTACAGGATCGCTGTACATAAGGATTACGTGGCTCGTGGGGAGCAGGGTGTGGACACAATGCATCACGATTCTTTTTTACTTTTTCTGCTCTTTCTCTGCTTGCATCTCTAGCCATCCTTCCTACCCACAGAGGATCTGGCTCAGGACTTTGTACTGTTCATCATTGTAATTTAAGTTTTAAACGGAAAAATGTAGACTGGAACCTGGGTTCAAATTCCAGCATCAAAGGAAAGTTTAGAAGTAGTTGAAGTCAAAACTGTGACTTCGCTGCCACGTGGTGACGGCCAGGAATCACAAAGCCAGCTGTGGGCCTTGCTCAAAGGCAGGAAGGGGTTCCTGTGCTCATTGGGAAGGATGCCATCCCTAGCACCTCTCGGGTCACCTTCCCTTCAAGAGCCACTGGCCAATATGTGCCTCGCACCTGTGTCGTATGTGAGACACAGGGAATGTATGCTGTGACTGTGAATCGGGCAGTGCTCACCTCAGATTGTGGCCTTAAGTGGCAGTAGCAGCCATCAAAGTCTCCTGGTCACCTCTGGGAGTGCAGTGCTGACTGTTAATTTGCATGCCCTGTGGAAATAAGTTTAGGAAAGGAGAGGAGATGCAGGGGCTGGGGAGACAGCTCAGTAGAATAAGTGCTTGCCTGGCAAGTGCAAGGGTCTGAGTTCAATCTCTGGTTCCACCAAAGAAAAAAGGAGAGGAGATGGAGAAGGTGGGGGAGGGGCAGAGATGGCCTGGGGAAGCTGGTGAGGGTTGGCGCTGCTGGATTGTCTGACACGTTCTGGATGGGCTTTGCCTGTGAAGCAGCTTATGCTCAATACTGTGCTCAGAGAATAAAGTAATCTGGGAGTACAAGTGATCTGTGTGTGTGTGTGTGTGTGTGTGTGTGTGTGTGTGTGTTGTCCTGGACATTCACACTGAACCACGGTGCTGCTCCCCCGTCTCTGCTTTTAAATGTTGAGACCATGTCTCACTAAGTCCTTAAGTGGCTAAGGCTGGGCTTGAACTTGCAGTTCTCCTGCTTTAGCCTCCAAGAGTGCTGGAACAAGAATACTTGAAGGCCTAATTTACTTACTAAGACAACAGCATCTGGGCTGGAGAGATAGCTCCGTGGTCTGAGTACCTGCCTGATAAACGCAAGGCTCCAGGTTTGAACCCTGGTACCGAATGCCTTGCCAGCCCAGAAAGCTGGGTGTGCCACACTACCCTGAGCTGCAGAGCGAGATCCTGTACCAAATAAAGAAATACTTTCTTTTTTAAAAAATGACAACATCTTCTTAATTGCACTGTTGCTTCCATTTCTGCTCCGCCCGTGTATGCTTTCTGCTAGTGAATGTAATGAGTGCAGATTATGTTTTAGGCATCACCTCCTCTACCTTGAGGCCTTCCTCACTTGTATTATGAAGTTGATTTGTAAAGGCGCATACTGTATATTGTGATTTAAGAGTGAAGAGACTGTGTGGGCCAGAATGTTGTAGCTTGTGGGAGGTAGGATTTCACAAGGAATAGGTGGAAAATAGGAGGGCTGTTTTGGTGTATCTAAGGTTTTCCTAGAGCAAAGTCAAAGTGAAGCGGAAGTGACAGAAAATCCAGGTGACATTCAAGGGGGGAGGGGTGCCAGAGGGGGCTGGGGAGAGTATTTCAAAGGTTGGTTCCCATGTTGTTCATGTGCTGTTTCCTCTCCTCCCATAGGTGGTATTGGCAAAACCAAAAGATACCAAAATATGTGGACTTTATGAAAGATAATTACCCTCCAGATTTTAAATATGAAGATTTTGGACCACTCTTTACAGCAAAATTTTTTAACGCCAGCCAGTGGGCTGATCTTCTGCAGGCGTCTGGCGCCAAGTACGTTGTCTTGACTTCTAAACATCATGAAGGTGAGTAAGCACAGCAGATGGAAGACGCGCAGCGATGGGGAGATGGAGGAGGAGGAGGAGGCGAGAACAGCACAGTCACTGATGTCAGGTCTCTGCTCACAGTGACTGGAAGTGGAGACAGGCTTATAACTTAAGGGCCACATGTTCTGCCTACATTGGGGGTACTTAGGGTACAGACAGATCGTACACTCCACAAAACAAGAGGAAAGGTGTTACATGAACATTTAATAATATTCCCAAGATTTGCTTAAAGCTATTGGAAGTAGGATGGATATTTCAGTTTGAAATTCGCTATTAGAAAGGGCTCTCTCTCTCTTTCTCTCTCCCCCCCCTTTCTCCCTAGTATTTGGGATTGAACCCAGGGCCTTTGCAGTCCTTTTTTATTTTTTACTTTGAGACAGAGTAGCCATATGTCATGGAAATGATAAAATTTATGATCCTTCTACCTCAGCTTCTAAGAGTACTTGGATTACAAAAATGTGCTACCATACCCAGCTTCTTGGCTTTTTTGCTGTATCTTTTTAATTTAGTTTTATTTTTTTGCAGAACTGGGGATTGAACTCAGGTCCTTGAGCTTGCCAGGCAAGCACTTCTTCTACTGAGCTATCTCCCTGGCCCCCTTGTTTGTTTGTTTTTTGAGACAGGGTCCAGATATGTGTCCCAGGTTGACCTCAAACCCAATGGCAGTTCTGCTTCAGCCTTCCAAGTGCTGAGATTACACATGTGCACCACCACACCTGGCTCTTTGCTTTACCTTAATGCATTATGCAAAAGCACCGTGTGAATTATGCTTCTGTGGTTTTGCAGCATTGTGTGTGTGTGTGTGTGTGTGTGTGTGTGTGTGTGTATGTCTCCTAGGTGACTGTTGTAGCCTATGGCTAGATGTTTCCCCAAAGCCACTATGGGTCATAGGTGGGGCTTTTCAGAGGCGGCTGGGTCTAGAGTGTAGGATGTCGGGACTAGGAATGTGATGCTGCAGTTGATATACGGTGTGATGCCAGGATTAAGGGTGCCTGCCTTGAATGTGAGCACTACCCATCCTAAGGGCAGGTAGCCTGGGTAGAAGACAAGGGACAGAAAGAGAGCTGCTGCTGTTGCTGTTTGTGCTTTGCAGCTTGCTGCCTTCTGCCTGCCCTGCCCTACCATGGACTGTTTCTCCTCTGTGATACCTGCCTCAGAGCCAACTGACAATGAAATGTAACCTCTACAAATTGTGAGCTAAAATAAACCTATCCTCCTTTAACTTCAGGTGACAGGTATTTTGTCTCAGCAACAAGAAAAGTGACTAACCTGTGGCCAAATGACACCAGTAAAGGATGAGTTGCTAGAGTTGAAAGCAATACAGATTGCCTGGAAAAGTTATAGACTATAATGTGCTGAGATTATAAGAAAACACAATGCAGTGCTCCTACATTAATAGGGTAGAGTTGGAGGAGGTGGCCTGCACCTGAATCTCAGTGCTCTGCAGGCTGAAGAAGGAGGCCCACAAGCTCGTGGCTAGTTTGGGCTACATAGGAGATGCTGTCTCAAAATCATGCAGAACAAAACAAAACCCAAAAGTAAAAATCAGACAAAAAGCCAGACATTGAGTAGACCTCACCCAGTACAGCTCAGTACCTAAGAGACCAAAGCAGCTGCCAACAGCTCTTGTCCTAACCTCAAGCTACTTCACTAGGTAATTTCCTTTGCACAACCTCCTTTGTGTTAGTGTACAAAATTTTGCATCATTGTTCTCTTCCAGTGGGAATGGAGTAGGAAGAGAAAACCAAACCAAACTTCTGGAATTATCTTAGAATATCTTTCCCCTTTACCTGTACTCTGATAGCTTCATGCTTTTCTCCTACAGATTTTTTTTTTTTTTCCGCTAAGATGGATATTTATAAATTTTACTTACTTTGAGAACTTGTTGGTTTCCTAATTTCTAGGAACTTCGTGAGGCTATATAGCACTAAGCGTTCTACAAATTGTACTAGAAAAAAAAAATTGTACTAGAAAGAGATGGCGAATGTTTACATTTTAAAAATCTTAGTGCAGTGTTCACAAGGCAGAGACAAAAACAGCTGCCATGAGTTTGAAGCCAGCCTGGGCCACGTGGTGAGTTCAAGGTCAGACTGGACTCTGTAGCTAGACGCTGTCTCAAAAAACAACAAAGAACAAAACACAAAGAAGTTGACACACTGCCAGTAACCTTCCTCAGAACACTGCCCATCCTTGCGCTGAACACAACCATCTCATCAATTTCAGAGGCTGTTCTTGACCCCTTTCGTGAATGTTCACAGTTGTGCGGTGGTGGCTGCCTTGCTGTCTTGGTGGAGTCAAAGTGTTTACCTTTCATGGTCATTTTGACTTTGGAGAAGAACTGAAGCTGCCCAGGGCCAGATCCAGTGGGGGGAAAGTGGACGAGAACACATCCTAATATTTTCATTTGACAGAAACTACTATAAATATTTGACATTAAAAATAGTGGTGGTCATTGTGTGGCTTACCTCATGTGTAAGATGTTCCTACCTTAGTAGTGACTTGCTTTTGCCGTGCTAGCAGTTGGCTGGGATACAACCGGGACACTGCGGACGCGATACCATGCCCCAGGGATCTCAGTGTCGAAGAGAACGATATCAGAGATAGCTCCAACTAAGCAGGTGAAATTTGCCTATTAAAATCTCCACCTCATCTTGTTGAGATTCTCATTTGTTTCTCTTGTAAGAGCAGAGAATGAAAAAGAGGCCAAAGAGAGTTATTTGTAGAAGCAGTTATGCATTGATTACATCTGACTTGTTTTGCCGTTCTTTTTGGTAGAAGTTTATTAAAGTGAAATTGCTAATGCTTACAGGAGTGTCTTGGATCACTTTGCAGGCTTTCCCTTGTGGGGCTCGGAGTATTCCTGGAACTGGAACGCTGTGGACGAGGGGCCGAAGAGGGACATTGTCAAGGAACTCGAGGTGGCTGTTAGGAGCAGAACCAACTTGCACTTTGGACTATACTATTCTCTTTTTGAATGGTTTCATCCACTGTTTCTTGAGGATAAATCCAGTTCCTTCCAAAAGCAGAAATTTCCAGTAGCTAAGATGCTGCCGGAGCTCTATGAGTTAGTGACCAGGTACCAGCCCGAGGTTCTGTGGGCTGATGGAGATGGAGGTGCGCCTGATTCCTACTGGAACAGCACTGGCTTCTTGGCGTGGCTGTATAACGAAAGGTGTGTGTTCTGTTGGGGACTGTAATTGCCACAAATCCTCCTAACGTGCATATGATGTTGGAATTCCCGGGCTTCTTCAAGTATTTCCTTTCAGGCTCATTCATGTGAGGTTATAAATTGGGGGATTATTTAAAGAATTGCTGCAAAGCAGAATGTTTTTCCCCCTCTGGCAGAAATCATTGTACATAACGTTATTGGTGGTATCACTACTTACTCAAAATAATCAGGAGTAAACAAATTGTGAGTCCCGTACAAACCAGTTGTCTGATTTTGAAATCAGATTAAAAATATCACAAAGGGGGCTGGGGAGATGGCTCAGTAGAATAAGCACTTCCCTGGTAAATGCAAGGGACTGAGTTCAATTCCTGGTTCCGCAAAAAAGAAAAAAAAAAAAAAATCATAAGATCCAGAACTTTAAAGCCCAAGGCTCACTTTGTGGTCCCTTTTTTTCATCTCTGCCTCTGGCACATTCTTCACTGCTTCTGATTATGTGCTTTTCTGTTCTTCCCTGTTTTGTTGTTCTCTGGAGCCAGTGTCTCCCTATGTAGTCCACGTTGACCTCGAATGCACTGTAATCCTCCCACTCCACTGGATGCTGGGATCACAGGTGTGCACCACCATCTCTGGCTCTCCTTTTGGTCCTCTTGCTTTTCCATAGTTGCCACTGTGCCTGTGTCCTCTCCTGTTGCTTCCTAGCATGTTCAAGAGTGTGCACCAGGGGGCGGGGAGATGCCTCTGTGGAATAAGTTCTTCCCTGGCAAGCACAAGAGCCTGAGTTCAATCCCCAGTTCTGCAAAAAAAAAAAAAAAAAAAAAGCCAAAACACAACAACAACAACAAAAAACAAGTGTGCGCCAGGGAGTGCTGATTGAGCTTCTCCATTAGGCCCGTATTTATACTTACATGGAGAAAGCACTTGGTACTGTGCTGTGAACTTGGCAGCTTCCTGGGTCCATAAAAGGCACTTAGTCCACTGAGCTATATTGCTGGCCCTAAAAGAAACTTTAAAGAAATGATCCTTTTTATTTCAGCCCAGTTCGGGACACAGTGGTCACCAATGATCGCTGGGGAGATGGCTGCATCTGCAGGCACGGTGGCTACTACACCTGTGCTGATCGCTACCACCCAGGGCATCTGCTGCTACATAAGTGGGAAAACTGCATGACAATAGACCAGCTTTCCTGGGGCTACAGGAGGGACGCTGGAATCAGTGATTATCTTACAATTGAAGAACTGGTCAAGGTACAGTAAGATATCTAGAGGCTGTTACTGTCATATTCCTGACAGTGAGATTGTGTGGGCAATATTGCTTATAATTTGGGCCACCCAGTGGCCCGCTAGTATAGGGCATGTCTTAACACATGGGAGGTGGAATTTTTTTCCATTTGTTTAAGAACTGTACTCATTCTTACATTGTTAGCAACTCGTGGAGACAGTTGCATATGGCGGAAATCTTCTGATGAATATTGGGCCCACACTGGATGGAACCATTTCTGCAATTTTTGAGGAGCGATTAAGACAAATGGGGGCCTGGTTAAAAGTCAATGGGGAAGCCATTTATGACACCCACACTTGGCGATTCCAGAATGACACTTTCACCCCAAATGTGTGGTAAGTCTTTCTGGTCTTGGACTGCCACTTGATGGGGAAGGCATTTAAAATTTCCCAGAGAGGGGCTGGGGAGACAGCTCAGTAACACAAGGGCCTGAGTTCAATCCTGGGTTCAGCAGGAAAAAAACAAAACAAAACAAAAAAACAGTGCTCATAAAATTTTCCAGAGATAAAGAGAACTAGATAGAGAAGAATTTGGGTAAATCTACTTATCCAATACACTTTCAGCTTTACCCAAGAGAAGGAAGGGGGAGAATTATCATGTTTTTGAATAGTTAATGTTTATCTGATTCTCAAATACCTCAGCAGATTAAAGTACTTGCAAGCAGGCACAGGGGCCAGTGGTTCGATCCCCGGGCCTGCTATGCTGGCCCCTCCCCCAGGGTGCACTGAGATGGCAATTGAGACTGGGCATGGCACGCACCTGTAATCCCAGCTCTTGGGAGGCTGTAAACAGGTGGGTCGCTTTGAGACCAATCTGGTAGTGAGACCCTGAACACTCTGTAGACCCTTCCCTAAAAATACAAAAAAAAAAAAAAGAAAAAAAAAAAGAAACGTTTATCCGATTTTGCTTGCATCTTTGGATATGTCCTAGTGGTGGGCACAGTTTAGCTAAACATAGCCAGCTTTTATGAAATTGAAAGCCATTTATTCAGGTAAGTGAAAAATGCTCAGTGGCTTAGTGTAAAGCAGACTACTGTTTAGTCAGTTCAGTAAATTCTAACTTTTGCAGGAGTCATATCCCATGTTAGCAAACAAGGGGTATCTGAGGATAGAGAAATTTAAGTATAAAATCAGCCAAATTAGAGAATATTCTAGGAAGATGGCAGAGGCAAGAAGCACCAGCTCTCTGTCCCCCTCCTAGACAACAGTTGTGCTGGTGTTAGACGGCCACGTGTAAGGGAAGTATACTGAACAGCACCCATCACTAGGAAGACGCAAATAAAAACTACAGTGAGTGGGGTTGGTGGCACCTGCCAGAAGTAGCAAGTTTGAGGCCAGCTGGGGTACACAGCGAGACCTTGCCTCAAATAACAACAGCCTCGCCAACATGTTCTTTCTCTCAGTGGCCCTCGCTCACTCTGTGGAGTGTTTTTCTTCTTATCTTTAATAAATATAAACCCTCACTGAACAAAAAACAAGCAAAAAAAATGGCAGCACACTATCACTTCACATCTATTAGGATAGCTACTATTAGAAAAGAGAAGAAAAGAAATGTCAGTGAGGGTGTGGCGATCTTGGAGTCTTGGTGACTGTCGTGGGAATGCAACGTGGCAGAGTTGCTATGGGAAATAGTACGGCGGTTCCCCCAAAATTAAAAATGGAATTACTCCGTGATCCAGCAATTCCGTCGTATTCATAGCAGATGCATGTGGACAGTGGTTGAAATGCAGAAGCAACACGGGAGTCCATTAATGAATGGATAAGTGCAAGGCGAAGGGTGTGTGTACCCGAGTGCGGATGTATTCAATGTCTAAGAGGGAGGAATTCTGACATATGCTGCCATGTATATAAACTTTCAGGGCATTATGCGCATTGGCAGAACCTAGTCACAAAAAAGACAAATGCTGTATGAGTCCATCTGTATGTGGCACCTAGACTAGAGTAGTCACACTCCTAGAGAGGAGATGGCTGCATAACATGATGCGTGTATTTAACACCACCAAGACGAATACTTAAAATAAAATTCTGGGCCAGGGGTATAGCTCAGTGGCGTGGTTCCTGCCTGGAAAGTGTGAGATCCTGAGTTTGATTCCTGGTTAGAAAAAAAATGGAGATGGTAAATTTCATTATGCCCTACCACAGTAAAAAAAAAAAAAAAAAAAAAAAAAAAAATCAGCCCCAAACAACAGCATTATCTTGTAGTAAAAAAAAAAACCCCAAACAACCCCAAAACTTCTTACTTGTTTATACTATTCCAATCAACTTTGATCTGAAGTCTCTTTAAAATTGTCAGAACTGGCTTTTCTTTCACTTAATACCTTCTTAAAGCTTTGTCTCGGGCTTCTCTCTGAGCTCTGGAGGGTTCTGGGCATCAGTGTCTGAATCAGGCTGTGGCATGCTGGCTTTGGTGCAGCATCTGGATATATGAGGCCGCTAGTGAAGGAACTCCGTGCTGCCCGACCCCTGCGAATTAGATAGTTACGTGGTGGTGCACGCCTGTAATACCAGCACTCAGGAGACTGAGGCAGGGGGATCACCATGAGTTCAAGGCCAGCCTGGACTACATAGTGAGTTCCAGACCAGCCTGGACTACAAAGTAAGACTCTGTCATGAAAAAAAAAAAAAAAAAAAAAAAAAAAAAAAAAAAAGGGGGCAAAGTTAGACAAAACTGGAGCCAGGAAGATGGCTCAGTGGATTAAGTGCTTCCCTGGCAAGCGCAAGGGCCTGAGTTCAATCCCCAGTTCCGCAAAAAAAAACAAAACAAAACAAAAAAAAAAAACCAAAAAACAAAAGTTAGACAAAACCCTGTGCTCAGCATTACCTGGCTTATACCTTCAAGCATCTTGCCAGCTCACTAAAGAAAATAGAGTGAGCAAATTTAGATGGAAACAAGGAGTTGTACAACCTGAGAATCTTGCATTTGGGAGCAACCACACTGAAGACCCAGTACCAAGCTGTTGCGTTACACATGGTTTCAGTCCTATTTTGGAATTTGATTCTGTTTGAAATTGGCTCTAAGGGTCTGGTCTGGAAGCTCCCATTCATTAATTATCATTCCCTCAAGCATTTATGTCAAGAAATAAAAGCCAAAGTTGGGTGTGGTGGTGGACACCTGGAATCCCAACACTTGGGAGGCTGAGGCTGGAAGATCTTCCTGTTCTACACAGTGAGTTTAAGGCCAGTTTGAACTATATAGTGTGACTGTGGCTCAAAAAACCTAAAACAAAAGCCCAAATATTCCCTGAGGTCTCTAAAGCCAGGCACTGTGCTCCCCCCCTTTCTGGCCCAAGTGGCCCTGCCATCCTCCTGCCTGGGAGCTCTGTTCTGCAGCAGCTCTGGCCCCCTGCTGGCAATGGTCTGCACACTCCTCAGTCAGACTGTGAAATCCTTCCTGAGTTTGGCCTGGCCCGCTGCTCCAGCGCCCAGAGTAATTCTTGAGATGCCTCTTAGTGGTGCTTGCCAGCCCGGCTCCCTCCGGCTCTGAGCTGCTGTCAGTCTCTGCTGCGGGGCCTTGTCCCTTCTAGCTTTGCTCCCACCTTAGGCCTTGCCTCAGCAGCAGCTGCGTCGCTCCATGGCTTTAATATGAAGCACTCTACTGTGTGTCACTGCTTCCATTTCAGCCCACTCCGTGTAGCCCTTTGGCTTCTATCTTTAATTTGATGTTAGGGGCCGGCCAAATAGCAGGCACAGGAGCAGGGGGTTTTGATCCTCGGGCCTGCCATTTTGGGCCTGCCCCTGCCCCCACCCCCAGGGCATGCTGAGAAGGGATTGGGAGTGGTGGCGCGTGCCTGTCATCCCAGCTCTTGGGAGGCTGTAAACAGGCGGATCACTAAGAGTCCGATCTAGTAGTGAGACCCTGAACACCCTATAGACCCTTCCCTAAAATACAAAAAAAGAAAAAAAAAAAAAGAAAAGAAAAAAATATCTGATGTCTTTCTCTGTCCTCAGCCCTACTCTTCTTCCATCCCCCGGTTGGAGCGCTGGCCCAGCACTGTATACAATCCACTGTTTGCACCCCAAACTCCTGAACCCTCTCTTCCTGTTGTACTCACTCTCACCCTTCCCTGGCACCTCCCTTCTGCCCTCCTCTGCCAGGTCCATGAGTGCAGTTTGAGGAGGAATCCTAGCTTAGGAAAGCCACTCCCTCCCGAGAATTTCATTTTAGTGTTGGAGGAGTAGAAAAGAGAGGTGTTTTTTATAACTATTGGAGACTATTGTTTCTTCCCTTTTATTAAGGGAGGCATTGGTAAATATTTACCACATAGAAGTATCACCGAAAATAATTCCAAATATGACCCATTAATCAGGATGAGATATAATAATTTGTTTCTATGCTCTTTTTATTTTAACCAGGTACACATCTAAACCTAAGGAAAAATTAGTCTATGCCATTTTCCTTAAGTGGCCCATTTCAGGACAGCTGGTTCTTGCCCAACCCAGTGGTATTCCAGGGGAAACAGAGGTAAGAGGAAAATTTATCTTTCTTGCTCATTTAAATTGCTGACTAAAATAACAATGAAATGGTATTTGAATGAAAACATAATTTGTTTTAATTTCAAGAGGAACCTTATATGTGTTCCTCTTATACCTAAGGGTAACCTTAAAGTGATTTTCATCAATGATGAATATTTGGCCAGAACTTTTTGAAACTTCTCCTAAACATTTTTTTTTTTCTTTTTTTGGTACTGGGGATTGATCTCAGGACCTTACGCTTGCCAGGCAGGCACTTAGGCTGCTGAGCCATTTCTCTGGCCCAGTGGAAATTAGGTATTTTCTTCACTACTGTACCTTGTTCAGGTTCACTGCATGCATCCAAGTGATTTTTTCATACAACTGTAATTCACATTGACACCATCCCAGAAGACATCAGAATGAAGGATGCCATGACCCTACCATTTTAATATAGCTGTTGTAATTACCAGGTCTGGCACTGGGGTATTTTGGTGTATTTATAGCTTGTTCTTTAAGAACTTGATGATTCTTTTGGAGCTTTTCCTTGTATCAAATTTGCAAATTTCACTTGAAAAGTATGGGGATGAACAGCCAGAAAGAAGATAAAGTTCTAATCTAATGTTTGATTACAGCTTTGAAGCCTAGATATGATGCTGGTTTTCTTTTAGTCTTATCCATATTCTCTTTGGCACCAATTAATATCATTAAAAGTGCATGTTTTGGGGCCAGTGAGATAGCTTGGTGAACTAAGCACCTGCTTAGGCAAGTGCAGGGACCAGGATTCGATCCCCTGCACCACATGTTGTGCCAGCCCTCCCCCAGGCATGCTGAGTGGCCACCAAGACCAGGTGTGGTGGCCCACGCCTGTAATCCCAGCACTGGGGAAACTAAAAACAGGAGGATCACTATGAGTCTGAGCTGTGTAGTGGGATCTTGTACCAAATATATTTTTTAAAAGTTCACATTTTTTTATTAATCCACTTGATACACAAAGTTTTATGTGTTAAAATAATCCTGAAATATGTAACCACTTATTTGAAATCACTTGGTATAGTAATGACTGAGGGAATAAAGTATAGCAATAATTGATTAGATTTATATATTATTGATTAGTGGAGGTTACTGGAAAATGTGGAGAGGAGCAGTGGCTAGCAACAGGGAGCCCTTCTCCAAATATTCTGTATAAGAAGTGGGCAGGCTTTTGTTGGCCAGTTTGATTCTCATATATAGTGTACTAGCAGATCGTATGCAAAGAAACAAGAAATCAATGGCAAATGAAACTGCAGAAATTATACAAACACATGGAAATTAAACAACACACTCTTTTTCCCCCATAATTTTATTGAGAAACAGATAGCAGTGAGACAGTTTCAAACCAAATTGGTAGGACAGTTTCAATAATTAACACATTGCATACATTCTTCCTAGTGGTTAATTGCTGTACAAGATGCAGACATGATATCCTATTTACAAACACTATTAGAACAAATCTCTATTCATTAAGAGAATGTAACTATATATCTATCCTAACCACTTTGAATACACAGATATAAAACGGACATTCACCTGTATCCCTTTTTTTGGTTAAGTTCCATTATTTGAATATTATAGGTGTGTAAACTCGGCAAAATAATCTAAAAGAGTCCAGTAGCCCATAACAGTATTGGGTCTTACGCTTCACTGGCAATGTCAGAAATTGTTGACCTGAGTCCCCTACAGCTCAACATAACAGCATGACTTTACTTCTTATATTTTGTTTTTATATTTTTCTGATGAATGGTTAAGACCAAGGTAAAGCAGGACCTATGCAACAAGAGTGGTAGCTTTTGGGTCTGATAAGGTCAGTGAAATCCCCTCAGGATTTATTCTGAGATCTTGTTCCTCAGATTGTAGAATCTTTGTCCGTGTCAGCCATGTGGATGAGTTACGGCCATTGCTCGTCCAATATGCTCTCTGTGAAAGCCTGAGAGAATGTTTTCTCCCCATGTGACTCTCTTTAGGCACACTTTACATCATCCATCACTTTCCTCTTTGGCCCCATAATCTCCTTGATCAGAAAATTTGGAACACTACCGAGTTACATGACGTTACAGTACAAGTTCTCATATGTCCTGAGTCTTAATTGACCTTGGAAGGCTAGGGCCAAAATGAACAACACACTCTTAAAGAACCCATGGTTGCAGTAATTCTCTGTTCTTGGTCCTTTCTTCAGTGTTTTCCTTGTTCCAATGCTCCCTTCTACCTTTGCAATTCTTTCCCTGTATCCACACTTTCCCTCAAGAGTAGTAGGAGCAAAATAAATGTATTTATTCAATGAGATCAGGAATTCAAAGGCCGGCCAAATAGCTCAGCAGATTAAAGCACCTGCAAGCCAGCACAGAGACCAGGGGTTCAATCCCCAGGCCTGCTGTGCCAGCCCCGACCCCGGGGCATGCTGAGATGGCAATGGAGACTGGGCGTGGTGATGTGTGCCTGTTAATCCCAGCTCTTGGGAGGCTGTAAACAGGTGGATCACAGAGTCTGATCTAGTAGTAAGACCCTGAACACCCTGTAGACCCTTTCCTAAAATTAAAAAAAAAAAAAAAAATTCAAACAGCTTATGAATCACTAAGCATGAAGGAAGGAATCTTGTGTGGATAGTGCTTTTTCTGCAGAAATGCCAGTCCTTGCTTCCTATAGCAAGTTGGTGAATCCAAACAGTACATTTGTATTTATGTTTCTGCTTTCAGGTTGAACTACTGGGACACGGACAGCCACTCCCCTGGACTTCTTTCAAGCCCGCTGGCATGGTGGTGCAGTTGCCTCAGCTCACCATTCATCAGATGCCCAGTAGATGGGGCTGGGCTCTCAGACTCTCGAGTGTGATCTGATATGCAGCCAAGAGGCCAATGCTGCAGTTACCTCAGCCCTTGGAAATCTCAGGTTTCTGTAGGCGTACTATATGGAGAATGCTAATGTAAAATGGATCAATGCAAAATCAAGTAATTATTTAGGAAAATTCTTTCCTAATTTATTTCCAAAATGTTCCCAATTTATGTTACTATTTTAATTTTTCAATGTACTGTGCCACTGAAGTCTCTTCATAGTGATTTTTTTTTCCATGTGTGTCCATTTCCATTTCTAGGTGGAAATGTTTTTGTCTTGTCTTAGCTGGAAGCTGTTGTGCTATCAGTTAAAATCTGACCCCCACACCCTGGATTCTTACATTGAAGCCCTAGCCCCCAGTGTGACTATATTGGGGAAGAGCCTTTTTTTTTTTTTGGTGGAACTGGGGATTGAACTGAGACCCTTGCACTTGCCAGGGAAGTGCTTATTCTACTGAGCCATCTCCCAGGCCCAGAAAAAGCCTTTTTAAGAGGTAATTAAGGTTACACAAGGTCAGAAGGGTGAGCCTCTAATCCAGCAGGACAGACTTTCTTATCAAGGAAAGAAACTGTGGAGATGGGAGGACACAGGATGCTTTGTGAAAAGATACATCAGGGCGATCATGGCCAGGCCAAACCCAGCGGTGCTGGAAGCATCCAAACCTGCTGACACCCCAGTCTTGATCTGGGACTTCCGGCCTCCAGAACTGTGTGAAATAAACTTCTGCATAAGTTGTCCAGGCTGTGGTTTCTGTTATGGCAGCCCCGGCTTACAGTTTAGGAGGTATGTAACATTGCCAATGCATGTAGAGATTTTTTGTAAACATAATTATCTTTTCCTTTAATACCTAAAACTGGGGCTGGGGCAATGGCTCAATAATTCAATCCCCGGTTCCACAAAAAAACCCCGAAAACCTAAAACTAATATATGTTTACTATAGTTTTTTTTTTTTTTTTTTTTTTTTTTTTTTGTGGTACTGGGGATTGAATTCAGGACTGTGCTTTCCAGGCAAACACTTACTCTACTGAGCCATCTCCTTGGCCCTACTATTGATATTTTGAAACATAGATATACTGAGAGAGAAAATCGCTGCTCAGATCACCACAATTAGAATTAGGGTTTATTTACTTATTTGTGGGGAAAGATGTGGAAGTAGGGCTCTACTTTTTGAAGATGGGCTAATTTGAAGTTAACTTAAATTTATAAGTTTGCTTACTATATTTGTTGTCAAGCAACTGGAAGTTGAAAACTGAGTTGAAAATTAGGAAGTCTACTCAGATTTCCTAGATGAGCCACAAATAATGCTGATGTTGCTATAAGTAAGGAAAATCCAGTTTAAGAACTCATTCCCCTCAGCAAAAGATAATATGCTTGTATCTTTGCCTGAAGTGCTACAGATTCTGTGTTGTCATGTTCATCAAAAGGAGACATCTCACTGTCTAAGAAAACCGTAAAGTGAAACTAAACTGATGGCCCGCGAGTCAAGACGTGGGGTAATGACCTGGAGGAGGAACGAGGATGAGGAAGACAGGGCAAGAGACACAAGAGATGGAGACAAGACAGGCTTTCTGATCAAGTCTCGTTTATTGAGGAAGTGAGCAGGGTCTAAATAACTGTATAGTGGAAGTAGTTGGGTGGGAATAGTTGTGGATTGGTAGTGGAGGTCCAGGACCACAGGAAGATGTTGAGGCAAGTGGGGATTGGTGCTGCAGCACTTCTTACCCAAATAAGGGAAAATATAACAGGAGTATTCTATCGCCCCCCACATATCCCCCCTTTTTATTAAATACATCAAGCAAGAAATTGACAGTGCCCCGCAGGGACAACGCCTGGCTTGGGTCAAGGACTCCTTCACATGAGATCAACCAGACTTTACCCGTCTTGGGATTTCAGGGCGGCAGTAGGCCCTGTTCCTGTCTTAGGTGGTCGGCGGCACTGCATGTGGGTCCTAGTTGCCCGTCATTGACTACTTGTCCCTCTCACCAGGGGGACCTATATCAGATTAGGCCACATTATTATAAGGTCCATTTGAGGGAACCTTCTCACGATACTCTTGTTGATCTGCCATTTCCAGCTGATGATAATGTATCTGAATGGGCTTTGCAGCAAAGGCATCTAAACGTGAGTTAATGAATGCTGTAAAGTTTTTGAAAAATGCAAGGTCCTATCATGAGCAACAGTAGGAGTGAGAAGAGGGGTCCCAACAGGGGCATAAGATAGGTGAACATCCCTCCCCACAATGAGGAGAAGGGGTTGTCCGCAAGTTCTTGTCTCCGCTTGAGTAGTTGATCCTGAAGCTCTTGGATTTTGTCTCGAACTATGCCTGATTTATTAACATAAAACAACACCTTTCCTGTAAAGCAAGACATATTCCCCCATGCTCTGCTGTCAGAAGGTCCAAGCCTCTCCTATTTTGCAAGACCACTTATGCTAGTGAATCTATCTGGTCTTGGATATCTTGGATAGTACCAGATAATGCTCGAACATCATCAATCAGCTGGTTAGATAATTTAGTATAAGAATGTACTGCTACCCCCAACCCTGCTGAACCTGTCCCCATGGCTGCTGTGACTCCCAGCCCCACTAGTAAGGGGATGAATTGGACTGCCCTTTTTGTGCGTCCCGCATATACTCTAGACTGGGAAGGGGTACAGGATCATTGCCAGAGATGACATCTATATCAGGCAGTATGATTGCCATGACACACAGTCCTGTCCAGTTGGTAGGTAGGTATGTAAAAGCCAAGCTTCCTCCACATACAAACACATGTCCTTCTTTGGGGCAAATAGGGCTACTGTAGTTAAGTATTTGACTACAACTAGTGAAGGTAACAAACCCAACATCAACAGTGAAGATATCACTGTGAAAGCTTCCTTGAATACAAAAAGACTTTTTGAAGGTTACAGGTTGGACTCTAAAAGGGAGGCTAACACTATAGTTTGTGTTTTGGGGGTTTATGATGTCTTGTGAGATGAGATTAGAAGGGAGAGCAAGGAGCATAGGAGTGCCTAGGGTCATGCATAGCCAACAATTTTGGGCTAAGCTTGGGTTGGAAGCATTAAGGGCTTTGTGTGTGTGGCTTCTAGAATATCTAAGGTCTGAGTATCTAAATCTACTCTTCGTGACTTGGGGAGTGCTAGGGGATGATAATTTATCTTAGGGAACATTTGTTCCATAATTTGTTCCAGGTGTTTTTGGACTTGTAACTCTATAACAGTATCTTGGGGTCCACCGCCATCTGAAACATGTATTGGGGGAACCTTGTTCCAGCAGATCGGCTCTCCAGGGGTGCCGGAGCATGAAGCCTGGGCATACTTAGGTTTACCAAGCACCGTGGGGGTGTTGGTCCAGTCACCTCCTATAGTACCACGGTAAGTCCTCTGAAGGATGGCCGTAAAATAAGTTTGTCCATTGATGGCTGTGCATTCTTGTAGGGAGTCATAACATGAGATATGCATCTCAGCTTGGAAGGAGCTGCATTTTTTAGGGCAAGGCCCTGGTCTGCCATTAATATTTGGCATTATATGAGGTTTATTATAGCATTCCCAACTCTGGGAATGGCCTCCTCCCAATCGGAGTGAAAATGTAAGAAAGGCTATTTTATTGCCACAATCAGTGCTTTGAGTAAAGGTGGTGGGTTTAACCTTAAGAGTACCTCCTCTGCATTTGCATGGAGGGCCATATAATATTCTTAATAGTTCTTGAGGGTTTACCTCTTGGAAGCCACCTTCGAGGACCCATGGCCAGGTCTGCAGTATTCCCAATAACAGGATCTGGACCTTCGTAGTCTGTAAGTAAAAATAAGAAAATTTTCTCAGGGCAAGCCTTCATCCTTGGAATTATCTATGAGATTATCTGTTGTGCATTGGGTCTGGTCAATTCGTTTAACCAAACATTCTGGCAGCCATCTTGCAGATTTTGCATGTTGAGAATAAATGCACACTGATCCTCGTCCCCATATAAGAACTGGATCAGGACCATTCCAAGTGCCAGTCAGGGGGTCTTGCCACATGACCAAGGTGAATTGAGTCTGTGTTTGAGTATGCCAAAAGCGAGATGCTGAAGAATGACCATTAGCATCCAGGATCAAAAAACTGAGAGTGAAGAGTGCATGGGATACTATATTTCTGGGGGACCCTTGAGGAGGATACCAATCTCCCCCTTTTATTTTGTTAATGGTGAGCTTTAATGAGAGGTATGCTCGTTCAACAATACCTTGTCCTTGATGATTAAATGGTATATCTGTAGTGTGAAGAATATTGAGTTTCTTACAAAATTGAGCAAAAGCAACACTGGTGTAACCTGGACCGTTATCAGTTTTTAGTTGCTGGGGGCACCCCAAAACTGAGAAGGCAGTCAGCATGTGAGCAATGACATGCTTGGTAACCTCACCCATTTGGAGGGAAGCATAAATAAATCCACTATAAGTATCAACAATTACATGAACATATTTTAATTTACCAAATTCTGTTATGTGAGTAACATCCATCTGCCACAATGCATTAGGTACCAACCCCCTAGGGTTTATACCTAGATGAGGTACAGGGAGATTTACAGTACAATAGGGTCAATTTTTAGCAATCTGTCTGGCCTGATCACGAGTTATTTTGTGCATAAGCCAAAGGGTTTGTGCATTTAGGTGATGTAACTGATGGCTATGTTGAGCAGCAAGCATTCTGTCACCAGAGCGATCAGCATGGACGTCCTTTAGGATGGTGGTGAAAACCTGAGCTCGAGTGGCCAAATCAGCTTTTTGGTTCCCTTCTGCTAAGGGTCTGGGCAGGT